TGTGAATTGCCAAAATCTAAGTGGCACATCTAGGGTGCAACCTGTACACCTCTGGCTCATGGAACATAGAACAGGGGATTAAGAAAAACACTAATTTATCTTTCAGTTCTCATCAATGAAGCTCCCTCATGCAACAGAAGGCCAGTTAAACAAAAGGTCACAAATGGCCAAAATGTAGAGAATAAAAGTCTACAGAGTGTGGGTCCTTGGACAGAACTCCTATATTAAAATCCATCCACCTGGGACAGAGGGACTATTGCAGAAGAGGAGGTTGAAAGATTGTAATAGCCAGGGAGGAGGTGCATGACCATACAGAAGTAGAGTACCACAGGCTCCTGGAACTCTTCCCAAACGTATCTACAGCAATGTTGTCAGCATGTACATGACCAGTGGAAACTCAAACAGACAAAAACTCAGCACAGAGCTGTGGAAATGGATACCAGGCCCCAATATTAGTCAAAGAATTATTGGCAGCTTATTACTGCTGGGTGAGGAAGAGCGATCTTCTTAAAGGGAGTGACTCTAGATAGGCTGACTAGACCTTGGTGTATGAACTTGCACTGAGGGATATCTGGGGATACTAACTTATGATAGGCCTTCACACTAATGACAGAATACATGATTCCAGTGGGAGGGGGCCAATGGGTAGGGGGTATAAAGATGATTTAGATGTTGAGTATGAACTAGAGAAATATTCCATTAGAATTTTTTGAAGTATTTTGTTTTTTTCTGTAATTTTACCTATTGTTTTTTTTTAGGTTTTTAAATTTTTTTAATATTTTTTGTTTTTTATTTTATTTATTTATTTATTTTAACTTTTACAAAAACTTTATTGAGAATTTCTTACATGCATACAAGGTGTGTTTTGAGCAAATCCATTATTTTACTGTGGGTTGCTTGACCAGTATTCAGAACTCCATTCAGAAATTTTAGATTACCTGAAATGGTTTTTTTTTGTTGTTGTGTATTTATTTTATGTGTATGAGTGTTATACCTGCATATATGTAAGTGTACCTGTGTTGTGCCCAGAAGAGGGTATTGGATCCCCTGGAACTGGAATTTTGAATGGTTGTTTGCTACTATGTGAATGCTGGGATTTGAACTTGAGTCTTCTGCCACAGCAGCCACTGCTTTTAACTGCTGAGCCATCACTCTAGCCCCCTGAAATGTTTTTGAATGTCATCTTAAATAGCATTTTTATTGGTTGCATTAGGTATCGCCTTCTGTTATGCAGTGATAGTTTCTACAAAAAGCTATTGATAGTACCAAACCTTATATAGACTACATTTTTTTCTTATATAACGTACAGCTTTGCCATAGACATTAGAGTTAATCTATTCTTTAAGTATAATATTCAGTGCCAAATAAGACACTTTCGCGTATTTCTGTGGGAATGTGAAATTAGTACAGCTTTTGAAGGGCAATTGATAAGTGGCAAACAAATTTAAAATGCATATCTTGAATTAGAATTCTGCTTCCACTTGAAATAAGTTTTCATGTAAATAAGGATTTAATTATAAGAACGTTCATCACTATGTTTATAATTGCAAAATTTGGAAACAGATTCAATGTGTTTGAATACAGATTACTCAATACAGATTTTTAAAAATGTGCTGCTGGGGTTTGAACCCAGGGTCTTGTACATACTAGGCAAGCATTCAACCACTGAGCTACACCCCTAACCCTAATCCTGTAATTGTTTTAAACAATTGTTGATATAACAAAATACTGCACTTTAAAAACTAGCAAAGAAGTTTTTGAAACAAGATTCATGTAATATTTTTATATTTTGACTTCAAGTTATAACAAGTAAAAGTATGTGGAGAAAGATTATAAAAACATATCTTTAAAGCAAAATATTTTAAGTGATTTCTGCTGGTTGGAGATATTTTTCTTTATTTTCACCAGTACAGGTTTTCAATTGAAATTTCTTCAGAAGCAAAAAATACTAACAGTTATTAATGTATAGAACTTGAAAACTCACACAAAGGCATAAGGAGAATCTATACAATAGAACTGATACATTATTTGAAGCTGGTTAAGCTGTTTGAAAACATAGAACTTTGTCGTGGTCTTTGCATTTGGATTCAAGGACCTTGCCTTCATCTTTGCAGGTCCTATTCCCTCCTCACATCCTGGGGGTTAGGAACTGCCCGAGGTTTCTTACAACAAGACTCTCCAGTCCTTTCCTTTGCTCTTGCTGTCCATCTGCCTTCGTTCTCTTCCTCCTTGGCTGGTTCTCCTCATCCTTGAAATGGAGTGTCTTCTTTAGCAGACCTTTCCTGAGCTCCTACTTATTTTCCCCCTTTTTACTTCCCCCTGCTCTCTAGACCATACCTAGTAAGGCACCTGCACGTTCGGCTGGATCTCTTTTCATTTTCTTATCCTGACAGACTGGCCACAACTTCAAGCCAGATTGTACTGGTTGGCACAGTATCCAGAATAGCAGTTATAATTGAACTCAGAGACTGGAAGGGAGTAGAGGAAAATGTATTTATACATGTATGTTTGTGTGTGTGACTAAACATCAGCCTGGAGTATTACAAAGTGTGTCTAGAGCATGGGATCTTCTTAAAGTATTATGTAGACAACAGTGGAGTGATAAGGAGCCAGATACTAAGGGCTTTCTATGTCATCCAAAGGAGTTTGGGTACTTTAGTGTGAGCAATGGGACTCCGTGTAAGACGTAAGTAAAAGAATGCTCTAGCCTTGGCAAGATGGTCCCAGACTCTTAACCCCATGATTATGCCAGTTTACAGTGGTATTTGGGCATATTCCCATGGTGACAAATCTAGAAATGAATTAAGAGGCTCCTGCACCCCAGGCAAGCATGAAGACAGCTATGCAGCACAAGCTACATCAAAAGCGGTAGGGAAAATTGAGATATCTTTATGCTATAATCTCACTCCCTGGCACAGTACCATGCAGTCAAAATTCTCCTTCTCCTTGCTCCCTAAGAAGGGAAAGAGGTCCATCATGTACCTAGTGTTCTCACTTTCCTAAAGACTGACTTCTGTTTAGCCTATCTCAGAGTGCTGATGGATGTGGCATACTGTAGCTACCCAGGTCCAGTGAGAAGAGAGATGACCAATAGTTGTAATAGCCACTTCCCCTAGCCTAGCCCAGAGCTAAGAACCGAAAAAAAATTCAGTGTCCAGCTTCTTTTCCAAGAGACAAGGGGCATATCATGTATTAAATTATTACTGTTTATCTGGACACTAGGAAGACAGTGAAACCTTAACCGTGATTGTTACAGTAGTCCGGGTAAAAAACAGCAGATTACTAGAAGGGAGTAGAAGGTGGCAAGAGAAAGGGAACTAAGCTTGTCTCAGATGCCTGTAGGACTGGCATTTAGACACCTGGACACCAAGAACTCGAAAACCAGTTAGTTTGACACAGGTTTGAGGAGCACTTAGAATCTCTGGCCAGGCTGATTGGTGATAGATTGCTCCAGCAGAAGGCCATTCTGTGAAGATAAGAAGAGATAGCTTTTGTCTAATGTGAAGATACCAACCCAAAGAGTCAAAGAAAACAAAGAAGCAGAAATATTTTCTATAAGTAGAATGAGAAAAATTTCTGGAAACACCCTAACAAAATAGAGATAGCTAATGAACTTGACAAGAAATAAAAATAACTGTCTTAAAGATGTCCTCTTAAGTCAGGAGAGCAGTTCATGAACAATGAAAATTCCAACCCAGAGAATTCCAAATTTAGTGTCAGACAGAAATCATGGAGCTGAAAAATACAATAGGTGAACTGAAAATTCATTAGGGAAATTCAGCAACATGTAAGATTAACCAGAAGAAATTCGCCAGATAAAAAGTGGGCTGACTTCCAGCATTTCCTAAAATTTTAGGAAATGTGAAAATTTTAGTTATAAAATAAAGTTGAAAATTAGGCTTAAAGTTGAATATATTTCTGAGCCTTTTCGATTTTTTTCCTATGCTAATACAGATTTTCAGTCCTCTCAGAGGATTTGATAGAATTTGCATTTTTCGAATTACTGTTATAGAACACATTTTGTGAACTTGGTACTGGGAAGATGTTGAAACCTTTTGGTTTTTGTTAGAGTATCCAAGGTACAAAACAACAGGTTAGTAGCAAGAGGGTGGAGGTAGCAAGAGAAAGGAAATCAAGGTTGTCTCTTAGAACACAGTCTTTACAAGGGATGGCTTACCAGTAATTTCAGAAGACAGTATGACTTGAAAGTTGTTAGCATGTGATCAAAAGACCTTAGAACAAGCTGTGTGGAATGTGCTTTGAAACTTCTCTGAAGCAACTGATAGAGGAAAATGCTTCTCTGATATGGTTAAAACTCCACCAACCAGCAACAGTCCCATCTTCCCTCCTTTCACCTGCAGAACCTGTCCATGGCCTGTCTGGAAGAAATGCTCTAGATAAGATGCCAAATTTTAGAGGTGTTTGACTTGAGATGGTAACTACTTGGCTGTGGGTACTCAAAAGTAGTTGCCAAGAGTATACATTGGGTAATAAGCAGGCAGATGATAGTGTCCGAATGTGCTAAATAAGCAAAGAAGGAACAGTGTCAATTTGAGGAACAAGGTGCCCTGACACTTTGTGGCATGTTCTTGAGTTAGAGTTGTCTGTGAGACAGCCATGTGAAGAGAGAGGACCAGTAGGCCTCTGAATATATAGATGTCTCTGAAGATGATATTTGGACTGAGGCTGCCTTTGTTTTATTCATCTTCTGTGCCTCAGTTACTGCATGTTTTGGGGTGTTTCTTTTGTAAGATGTAAAGCATTGAGCTGCAGGTGAAAACACTGCAGATTCCCAGTCTCTCCCTGATGGAACATCCACACAGTGTTCTCTGGGTAGATACTGCAGCTTCCTCCATGGGAGTGAGGAAGAGATTTGACTGGCAATTCTCACACTTATTTGTTAACACAGCAAGGGAAGCCATTGAGTCAATAACACTATAATGTGTTTCTGTTTTAAAATTTTTAAGTGGATTAACAGTGTTCATGCATTTCCTTTATAGCTCCAAAAGGAATTCTTCATCTATCTCCCGATGTTTATCAAGAGATGGAAGCCAGCCGCCACAGAGTGATCTCAGGCACGACTCTAGGCTACTTGTCATCCAAAGATATGAACCAACCTTCAAGCTCTTTCTTCAGTATATCTCCCACATCAAATAGCTCAGCCACAGTTGCCAGGGAACTCCTTATGAATGGAACATCTCCTACAGCTGAAGCCATAGGTTTAAAAGGAAGTTCTCCTACTCCCCCTTGTTCTCCAGTACAGCCTTCAAAACAACTGGAATATTTAGCAAGGATTCAAGGCTTTCAGGTATGAATTAAAAGCAAAAACAAAAAGAGAAAATGAAATAGCCCCAAATCCTTCATCTTTGTCCATCAAAAGGCTTATTCTTGCCTGCTAGTGTGGCCTATGTACCATTTCCATTATAAATTATAGGAACACAGAAGACAGAAAAAAAAAAAAGAGAACACATATGCACATGCCTTGTTTTCTCTTATTTTCTGTCCAGTAATTCTGTTGTTGCCTGGCTTTCCTCCATCTCCCTCCCTCCCTCCCTCCATCTTCTCCTCTCTCCCCCCTCTCTCCGTACCATTTCCATTATAAATTATAGGAACACAGAAGACAGAAAAAAAAAAAGAGAACCATATGCACATGCCTTGTTTTCTCTTATTTTCTGTCCAGTAATTCTGTTGTTGCCTGGCTTTCCTCCATCTCCCTCCCTCCCTCCCTCCATCTTCTCCTCTCTCCCCCCTCTCTCCCCTTCCTTCTCTTCCCCTTTCTCCCATCCCCCTTTCTCCCTCTCGTTCTGTCTCTCCTCTCGCCCCTTCTCTTTTCTTAAACATTTTTGTATTCTGTCTTCAGTTGGTCTTGATTGGGTACATCTGTTTCCTCACTTTGTCTTCCACAAACAAAATTCTGCCTTGAGGCATGGTGTTAGTGTTTTACACCCACTTCCTCATTCTACAATTAATATTGAGTTTTTCTGCTAGTGATTTGATTTCATAGCAGTTTTGAGTTTGCCATCCTAAGGTTAGTGATAATTCAGGTACATTGGGATGGTAGAGCATCCCTGCAGTCCTTAGGAGTCCATTAAACATGGCATTGAATGGTGATGAAATGCTCTTTGGAAGTTGAGGTATAATAATGAATATGTGTTGTACTGGATGCTGTTTTGAACGAGCTGGGTAGAGATGCATCTGCCATTAATGATACTGGCAGCTCTTTTGCTAGTAGTCTAACAGCTAACGGTTGAACTCGTGTGGATTTGGGAATAAAGCTTTCCTCTATTTATTCTTTGTCTCCTTTTGGAGAGAATAGAAACAAAACACCACAAAACCACTACTCCTTTATGGCTATTTCAGAGCTTTTAAAAGAGTTGTTAACAAAAGGGAAGGGGAAAGCTATGTGTCCTGATTTCTTAGTTTCCTTGAAAACCGTGTACTGAACTGAGTGCCACTGACAGGTGAAGGCAGCTTATGTGAGGAAGACCCGCTTCCCAAATTTCACTGTTCTCATCCCCTTCCCGTCTTAGTCTTATTACTCAAGACAAAAACTTGTAACTTCCTTTAGAAATGCTCTAGACATTTGTATTGTGTAAAATGATCATGTATTATAAATGTTTTGCAGGTGTAGATTATAAAATGAGAAAGAAGATCATGTGTTTGGGGTGTTTGCATGTTTGCTTTGGGTTTTATTCCTTCCTAGATGCCTTCTGATTCTCTCAAGTCTATAGTCAGGTAGTTGCTAGTGTGTTTAATCAGACTATTCATATGGAATTTTAAGCTGCTACTAATTATTGACTCTGTCATCTGAAATTTTAAATGCTTAATCTAAAGTTATAACTTTAGAATTTGTTGTTTACCTTAATAATCACAATAAATCACTGTTTAAACAAAAGACATTGATTCATATAGTTAAAGTACTAGAAAAAGGCTAATTAATACTTAGCTCTACCAGTAATCTTCATAGAATAAATTGGAAATAAACTGTGATGGAAAGAAATTCACGACTTATTTATAAATCTAGTCTTTTAGAATGTCTGAGAGTAATACTACATTTTTATACAAACGAAGCACAAATTGCATTCAGGCTCTGAACTGAGGTTTTTGCTTGGATATATTACAACAGATACAATTCTGCTGCCAGAAGAACTTAAGTTTTTAAATTTTTTATACATTAGCTCTTGGCAATGATAACAGCTGTAATTTTACCCTATCTTCACTTAACCAAAATGTGGAGTCTGCTACCCCTGTTAACTGGGCTGACTGCTTAGACCCCTTTTCAAAGCTTGTGCTGAGATTATATGCTCTTATTTATGGACAAGTCAAACATTTCCAGATCTGTGTACTGTGATTTTACATATTAATGAATATAAACAGATGGTTTTCAAACATCCCTGTGCTTCTTTGGTTGAATGAGCTGTACTGATGGAAGATGCATTGTTCCTGGATCGCAGCCTGCAGCTGGGCAGTGAACAGTCTGTGGTACCTGTGTCTGTCAGTGTGTACTCATCATATGTCACCATGGGAGTTTCTTTGTGAAAGTACCTTCTTTCTGGGTAACTCTCTTGGGTATGCATACCTGGTAGAAAAACATGTAGATTCTTTTTATTGTTTCTTACATGATTTAATTAGACTGTAGTTTAGAAATTATAAGACCAGCTTGTTATAGATTATATGCACTTCTGTTACTTTTATTTCTGGAATTTGAAAACAATAAATTTTTCCTTTGTTTGTAGGTTAGTAACTTTTCATTTTATTTCACACTGAACAGATATTATTGTTTATTGAATATTGTGTAAAATTTCCTTTGGTCTTCCATTGTCCATTGTGAGTTGATTTAAGCCTAACCAAACTATTGTGCGTATCAGATATGTTGTATTATAAAGTAAAAATATGTGAGTGTGTGGAAAAAAAGTTGATTTAACTTAATTTTATTTTTATTACCCAGTCTTGAAATTTACCAATTACACAAAGCTGATTTACTCAAGAGAGTGTAGGCATTTAGATCACATTCTTTTGTTTGAACTTACAAAGTAAGTAAGATTTTTTTTATACAGGTAATATTAACAAAACTGATTTCACAGAGGAAAATATAACTAAACATTTGCATATTCTCAGGAATTCTTTAACCCTTGGTTAGTCCCACCAAAGATTTTTAATCTTGTGTATGTGTGCATCTGTTATATGGGTGTGTGCAGGTGAGTCCAGGTGCCCTCTGAGGCTGGAGGTGCCAGATTCCCTGGAACTTCAGTAACAGGTGATTGTGAGCTGCCTTGCAAGGGTGCTGGAAACTGAACCCAGGTCCTCTGCAAAAGCAGTACATGCTCTTAACCACCGAGCCTTCTCTCCAGTCTCTACCACCAAAATATTTTTATTATTTTAGAAACAAATCTTTTGAATTTCTTATTTCTTATTTATTTATTTGTTATTTATTTATTATTTTTATGGGGCTTTTGGCTACTCTAACATTCCCCACTCTGAAGAGGTAACCCTAAAATCTTTTAAGGATTAGAGAAA